GGGAAATTTTAGCTGTACTTGTAGTCCACCTTCTAACTTTTTATATGATGTTTACATGATGCACTGTCTATATGTACTTCATAATACGGAAGTCAAACCTGTAAGATTCATAAGCAGACTTTAATTAATCAAAACCTCTGAATTGTTCTTGTTTCACTTGTTAAGTGATGAAACAGTCCTAGTTTCAACCCTGTCTCCATAGCAGCAAATGAAAGAACTTCTCTGGGATCCCTGTGCCCAGTCCTCTAGTGCAGCCAGCAGCTCTGCCACACAGTCTGTTATGTACCCTGCTCAGGATTCATCAGCATCAGGCATTTTTGGACCCCAGGACTTTTACTAATTTTTTTTGCAGAAACTTAGATGACTACAAATATCTTCCTAATTTGCAGTCCAGGTATCAAAACTCTGCTTTAATATTAGCGGCATCTCTTCACTTTACAAGAAGAATTGCATCTCTGTTGAAACACTTTTACACTCCAGTCATCAAAGAGGTAAAAAATTAGGCCATTTTAGAGTGACTTTGCTCATACACTTAGAGGGATGGTTTATGTTAATAACAAGATTTAACTGGCCTTAAAAATGAAGTTCTTGTTCTACAGGCCTGTGGTATAACCGAGGTAAAAAGGGACTCTAACTTGCTACATCTTTTTAGGTTGATGGACTAATTTGGCAGCAAGCTAACAGACATACTACCTGCTTTAAAAATCCACAGAAAAGATCCAAAAGAATATTACAGTCGACACCAGTTCTTATTAGTGACGTGTTTTTGTAAAAATGGTATAAAAAAATTTAAATCAATTTTCTGAAGCAAAGATCCAAAGTGAAATTTCCTATACGAAAACTCAATGGCACGTAACATAAAAGTTTTTGAGAATCAGAGATCAAATTTTAAAGGCCAAAGCTACAACAGTGCCTAAATATATATTAGAATTTGGTTTCAGGTACTTCAAATATTTTGCCTGGTAATTCCATGGCAGATGATAGCACTGTGTGACTGGTGTCATGTTGCATTAAAAGCTTATTATTTTCTTTTAATATTCCTCCCCCCACATACACATGTAGTCCCATTTAAGCATTTATATATATATATATATATATATATATATATAAATATTTGTTTTTAAACGTGGACCAATTCTGTCAGTAATTTAGAAATTTATTAATTTAGATTACTTGGATTGTCCTTAAAAAGCATTGTACCAATGTGCATACAGTTCTCTTTAGTAATTTACAACATTCTGTCATCAGAAAAAAGGACGTTTTTGTTTGGTTTGGAATATGTTTAACACTGTCAGTTATTGTTGTAATAACATTAAATTATTTTACTTCACTGCTGAAAAGTAACTGTATAGATACTAAAATAAAATACCAAATTCTTTGACAAGAAGTTTTCCTACTATTATAATTGCAAGCAATTAAAACAGTTTGGTTTTTTGCCTTTTAGTATTGTCTTTGTAGAAAATCATTACATGCATTCAATTAATTTTTAACCTAAGTTTTCTAAATCCCATGGTTGGATTAGTCAGGTACAGAGCTGAGTTGATCAACTTACTAGTTGCATATGATAATTTTAACTATAGAAAAATTCATCACAGGACAACATTTATGACATACAGTGTTTAGATACTTGTTTGCAGAGGTGTTTTCAAACAGGAGTCAACAATGGCACTGAGGCACGAGAAGAATAGTTCAGATCTTAACAGTAAAAGCAAGTGTAAACATCAAATGGTCAACATGCAGAGAAACAGAAAATGTTGGGTGTCTTTGATAAATGATGGCTAAGAAGGGGTACAGTAATAGTATACAAAACAACGAAGGACACAAAGATTCACAACTTTTATCCAATGCATTTTTACACTCAAGCTGAAGAACTCATGTCATTATATGATTAGAGTTTTAAAGTAATAAAAATACCTTATATCTCAGCCTGCTAGAGGCTTGTATAGATATTAAACAGCCTCTGTATTGTGAGTCAACATGGATCATGAACTTGTTGGCAATCAAAAAATGCCAGCTCCTTAATGGTTAATGAGACCACCTATTTTTATATGTAACTGTGGAATAGACTTTGGACTGCTCTACAAAGGCAAACTGATTCACAGAAGGCTAAGAACAGAACTTGTTATGAGCTAGCAACAATACACTAACTCCCTAAAGTAAGACATTGTTAAAAATTTTTGTATCATAATATTTTCTAAGAGTGATATATTAATAAAGCAGCCTGCTTAACCATTCTAGTGTGACTTACTCCACATTAATTTCCCTCTGTAAACAAGCCCAGGATTTCATAGGGATAAAAATCTATAAAGACAATATAAATTTCTTATAGTGTGGGATTTACATTTATCATTTGTTGGTGATTGTAACAGTTCTGAATCTGTACTTGGTAAATGATAAATTGGGTGCAGTTTGGTGGTCTTTATGTTCCTCAAACTGGCCTTGTCCAAGAAGCATAAACATTGGTAGGCCACTGCCCTTTCCCTGATGCTACTGATACCTGTACAAATGCTCTACTTTGTCCAGTCCTTCTCAAGGAATGGCATTAGTCTGTATGTGCTCCTCACAGATTTTCTGGAATTGCTAACCTGTAATTTAATTTGAATTCCACTGGTGCTAAACTTCACTTTTTCAGGGAACTATTGTGAGCTCACGTAAAACAACATGAACCTGTTATGCAGGAATGTGTTTTCATACTAACTGTGAGATGGGCTACATTTCTGATCAGGCAAAACTAATGGAATACAGGCAAATTCCTGCATGTAAAGAACAACAATGCCTCTGGCAATCTCTGTTCATTGGAGGTTTGAGGATGGTCCCTTTAAATTTATGTTAACACTGCTTTCCAATTTCCTGGAAAGAGGAAACTTATGCTGACAGGGAGGCAATGCATAGGGTTGGAATATAGGCACTATCCAATCAGTGAAGCCAAAGGTGGGAAGAAGATCTTCTTTTTAAGTAATAATATATAGGTAATATTAGTTCCATTGGTTTACTTACAATGTAACCTCAAATGACAAACATCTGTTTTTCGAGTTTTCTTCCCAAAAGCCCTGACATTTCCAACATAAACAAACCTTCTTATATTTTTCATGATAAAATAGTTTGAAGTTGTCAAGATTAGGACTGTCATTAGTATTAAAAAAACAAAGCAAAGCAAAACAAAACAAAAGAACTAAAACCACCACCAAAACCCACATAAAAACTGCATCCAAACCCAAAAACAAGATCCACAAGAAAAACACATCACAGTTGTTCTCATAGTTTTCTATATCATACTTGTACAATTTACAGAGACAAAGGATGGGAGAAATAGCAGATTAAGAATTTGGCATTTTTTTCTCCTTGTCTCCCATCTTCATGAATGTTTGCAAGGACCACATACCTGAGCATCATGGGACATACTTAACTTTTGTATAAATTCTGTTTCCAACATAAAAATAACTGGTGAATCACTGTTCAGATCTCAAGTATGTTTTTAAATTCTGTTGTGTTTTCTTTTCTCTCTTCAGTGCATCTGCAAAACATTCCACTTTTAGGTCTTGTATACTTGGGGTATGAAGCATTTCTGTGATAAAGGGTGAGGGAATCTGCAGAAGTCCAAGTGCTGTATGGGAGGTCTGAGTGAACCACAGAAAAAGGAAAAAAATCCTACAGGGTAAAGACTTGTTTTATAGTGAAATTCCGTGTCCCAAAAAATTGTGTTTGCTTATTGGTATCAAGTGATGGGTTCCTAGAAATACCTAATATAAGACAGGTAGGAAGGTAAGTGGGAAAGGTAAGCAGGTAGGATAGTCTCACAAATATGGTTCTGTGTTTGTCTTTTAGGAAAACTTACCTAAAATCAGGAACTAAATAATGTTCAGTGCAATTTATCAACGGTATAGGAAATAATTTTTGAAGGACGATGACAAATGCAGAAATGTAGGCGGAAATAACTGTTTCAGGCTGCTGTAAATGGCATTATATTCACGTATTTCAAGACGTGGTATGTATTAAATGTGGAATTCAGATGTCTAATGCATTTTAATAATTAATGTAAAAAATTGTTAGACTACTATTTACACATTATATGCAATAGTACATACGTGATTAGCTGTGTCTATGAAATTTGACAAATCTCTAGGCTGTGGAGATTCACAATGAGCTGTAACACCCAACCTCCCCAAATGCACTCTGATAATGTATGAACCACAAAGACATTCCATTATTTTAAGTCTCATGTCAGAATTTACTAATTGTTAAAGATGTATTAAAATACTTGGAAAATAACTGATTCCTCTTTGTCAAAAAATATTTGTAAATACATAGTATTCCACAAATACTCTGATCTGAAAAATACAAAAATACAGTTGAAGTATTTTTATATGTAGTCTAAACATAATAACTTAATGGTTTGTTATAAAATGGGCCTCAATTTAATTTAAAAGGAGTGACAAATATTTGGAATCTAGAAAAAAAAATTCAGAATGGAATTTTTGCATGATATGTTTTCCAAGAAGACTGCTGTCTTGCATGCAAAAATGGGCAATTGCCAGCTATTTTCAGCCTCCCTAGCAGTTATTTTCACAAACCTACAATAGATTTTGCTTATAAAATGCTCTTTCTACAGTATCACAAAAGAATACCTTTCGTTACTTCCTGCTTCCATGACACATGTTAAAGATCAGAGCAGAGTAACTGTCAAATCTTGCCTCAGACCCTCAAGGCGTTCTCAGTGCCCCCTATTTCCCCTGATCCTTTTTTTTTTCTTTTTGAAGGCTTTGCTCCCAACTATAGAGTCAGTTAATGGCATGTGCATCCCCATCCTAGCCAGTGTGGACCAAACTGGCGTTTTAGCTTGAGTGACTCATAAAAGTAGATTTTAAGCTAAGATTCTGAATTATGAAGTGGAACTGCAGAGACAAGAGCAGACACTGTGTTCTACAGGCTACGCTGCAGGGAAATAACCTGAAACAAAACAGGAGTGGGACGAAAATAAATTGCCACAGTAAAATCTGTGAGTTCATTTCTCGACTTCTTTTCTACCACATTAGGAGTCTTCAACATCGGGATGGTTATGAACTAGGATGAAGTTCTTCAGTCTTTCTTCTCAGTGTAGTGCCTTTAATCTGTGAAGAAAGGCTGGATTTTTTAATTGTAGCATCATTTTTGTGGTTTCTTTTTAGTTTGTATTTCATTTGAAAAGTGACCATCAAAATCAAATTAGTAATCTGCTAATCTCACAAGATACTACATCGCTGCTCCTAATCTGTTGTCTTCAAATTATGAACGGCAGAATTAATTAAATGTCTTAGCAAAGCATCAATTTGGGAGTAGTGATAACTCCAAGTGTCAAAGTACATCTATCTGCAAACATTCTGTAAATAAGGTGCACAACAGTAGTTCCTGAGTGCATCCCCTTGCATCTAGCTGTGTTAAAATGCAAGTTTGTTAAACAGCCATGGAAGTTTTCCATTTTAAACTGGCCCAATGGGATGAACATAGAAATGAAATCATCTGACTCCACTGGAAAACCTTCAATTAATAAGATTGCCCATTAACACAGTGGCTTGCTGCATCCTCTGTCCTGTATTGATTTTTCTATACATCTTCCTCAACACTAAATGAAACTCCAAAATTTGAGAAATTTTATGTGAACGACGAACTAATCTGCTGAAAACTTCTACATTGTTTGGTTGATGATATTTAATTCAATGAAATTGAGACTGATTTCCTATGCATCTATTTTTTGGGTTTCAGTCTCCATTTTTTGTGGTTTTTGTCCTGTAGTATCTCTTTCTGTGCTTTCTTTGGGCCTGATTCAAAACTGTTGTTCTTAATACTGCAATATTTTCTCAGAGCTAGACATTGTTTCACATCATATGTTAAAGATATAAACAGGAAGTTAAAATTTCTGACCTGGGATGTGTCCTATATGTGTTTTAGGTCCTGTTACACAGGGATTGTCTCAGCTGTTAATGATGGCCAGGAAGCAGGCTGAAGCACTGGATCCCTGGTCATTCACTCAGTTCCTTGGTTTACTGTGGATCATTCAAAAGCTGGAATTGGAGTCCTCCCAAATAAAGCAGGATGAATCAAATCAGTGCATCAGATTTAGCTTCCTCTACCTACGCAGTCTTTTAAAAAAACTATCTTGGAATGTTTAGCACCCTCACATGCCCCCTCATGCCACTCCCTCAGCCCCTTCGGTCACCTCAGTTCTGTGCTACATAATCAGTCTCTCTGGTAGGTTGCAATGAAGCCATTGTGTTATTACAGGCACTTTGAAATTTTAAAAGTGTGCAATAATAATAATAATAATAATGCATTATGGCAACAGGGCACCACCTGGGGCCCAGAAGGTGGTGAAGTCCAAAGGCAACCTACCTGGATGTGGGCGGTCTACCATAGAAGAGGCTACCCTTAAGTGTTGTATTTATTTAGGTGTTTGAAACTGGTAGTGTTGAGAATGTGAGGAAAAAAACCCTTCAGGGTTGGTCTTCTGCTCTACCTAAATCATTTTGCATGGGAGGAAGTAAGTAGTTTAAATCAGAAATTTTGGTCTCATTTCTAATTAAGAACTAGTGGGTTCTTTTTTGTTGGTTGGTTGGGGGTTTTTTGGTTGGTTTTTGGTTGTTTGCTTGTGTTTGTTTGTGGTTTTTTTAATAAAAAAATTGCTCTATCCTAAAGATTTAGGAAGAAAATAAGCTTTTGTCTGTAATGAAAGGTGTAGTGGGAGCCACTCACATGTCGTCTCTGTACCAGCCTAGTCAAATGACAGGTAGTGTTGCATTAAGAAACTATGAAGGTTTTCCTTTTCAGGATTTAAAAGTTGTATGTGATGTGTCATTTCTAAAAACATGTAATTTCGTGTTTTAGGGAAAAAGAGGATTTGTCAATTTGTCTAGATTTTCTTTCTCAACTTCACCACAAGAGACAAATGGGTAAAGAGCAGAGGCTTAGCTGTAAAATCCAAAATCTTTTGGCATAGAGTGGAAGAGTTTTATTTCAAGTAACTTGAATGCATGTACAGGAATAATTCTGAAATCTTGCTTGTATCACCGATGCTGTATGTTGGACACACTGGAACTTCACTGCCTTCATTTCTGTACCCAACTTGAACCATCACTATCATTCATTTAACTCTTGTGAATGGTGATTCTTCCTTCATCATCTTACTGTGGCTTTTAGTGTATAAAGGTTATTGATAGAGGATACCTGTGAATCAATCTCCAGTGATTGGGAGGAGAGAATGAAAAAGATAAGATGGCTTCAGCAGTGATTTGGCCTACTGTGTGTGAATAATTTTTGAGGAGCAAGGCTTAGAAGGAGTAAAATTTGGGGAACTCACTGGCACATCTGTAAAACTCAGTTTCCTTGGATGTTAACCTCTCCTTGGTCTTCAGGTTTTAAGAACCTTCTGTTTTCTACAAAACAAACCAACCAACCAACCAAACAAATATCCAAAACAAAAAACCCACAATCAAATAATACAAGCTTTCCAGAAGCCCACATAGGACATATTAGTCTGGCAACTAATGTAATGCTACTTAGAGTTTTCCTACTAAAACCCAATAAAACCTGTTTTCTTTCAAAATAAACTCACACACAGTAAGCTGGAATCCCTATTCTAAATCAAGCAATTACAGAAAAACAGTAGCAGAAGGGGCACTGACAGGTCATGTGCTTCACCCTTTTTGTTCTGAGGCATGATCCATCCTGTTGCTCCTTAACCTCTGTTTGTACAGTTGATATTTAAATGTACTTAAAGCCTGCTAATTTTCTTACTGTAGGGCCTCATGACTGGACCCCAGAATTTGTCCATTGTTTTATTCTAGGGCAATACATGCATTTCCAAGCAGAGGACTTAACCATCCTTGTTACACAATGCCAAACAATCAGACAATGGAAGTTAAGCCCGTTGTCAAATTGCATTTACAATTGACATTCTGTGAGACAATAGAAGTTACTACATACATCTTCAGTGCATGTGGGAGTCATGCCATTAGAAATGACATAAAACTGATTATGCAGACAGAAAATAAACATTTTTCTTCCCTTAAAGAATTTGAGATTGATGTATAATTACTTTGCTTGCCAAGGAGAGACTTCCATAATCAGTATAAATCATAAGGTCGTTAAATTGGTAGGGCAATGAGAAATAAATCAATGCCCTGAAGATGACTTGTAATTGCTTGTTGCAGGATACATGGCTGAATGATATTTTGTAAAGACCATACTGTGCATCCATCTAATTGGGTTGGATGTGTTTGAGAGTCTACAGCAGAGCTCGCTGAATAAGTCAAAGACCACCCACATATGAACCAAATGACTTACGTGTCTGTGGGACACTCAGGAAAATCTGTACTTATTGCTCCATTTCAACTCTATCAGGAAATTCCTAGGCTGCCTTCAAAAAGGATAGAAAAAGAAACAAAAGCTCGATGCAATTCCTGTTGGGTAATGTAACAATATGAAGACTAAAGGGAAATGCAGTCATAGCGACAGTGATACTATTTTGGAATGTTCTGCATGTACGTGCTTCATAATTGGATTCAAATGACCAGCAAGTGACACTTCTCCCACAGGCAGCCAGCTCTTTCTTGTAGCCCTGTCTAATAAATAGTTTGGAATCAAAATCGCAAGAAATTAAGACTTTGCAGTTCGTGACCTTTTAGTACTGTGGGTTTATAAATAATATATTAATCAAAATCAACTTAATTAACATGTCCATCTGCAGAAAGGCAATGAATAACTATTCTAAAATTGAAGTAAATTGTGGTACAGGATTATCAGAAGGCTTTGCATTCTAGAGAATTGCCTTGAGTCTGTTCTGCAACCTGGGCAAAATAAATATGCATATCTAAATCGCATTTATTCTATTTTTTTCCCTGTGGATTCCATGCTTTTTTGTTCTCAGTTAACATTTATATCAGTCTGGATTAACTCCACTAAAAATAATAGGATCATTCCAGATTTACATCAGTGTCATTTGTTTAACGTGCCTGTTAGTGGTGAAGTAAAAGCTTCTATTAAATGTTGTTGCTCATTCAACATGCTTAGTTTCAAGCAAATGTATTTGTTTAGTATGGATGACAATGATAAAGTAGTTATATGACAGTAGGGTTTAATCAGTGTCTAATGCCTGTTGTGTTTGGAGCTGTATGAGTATAAAAGACATGTTCCTTATCTCCAGATGTCTTAAGATTACAAATGAAAATAATAGGCTTGGCATCATGCAAACAAAAGGGGGAAAAAAAGTACAGTGGATGTAGTTTTGTTAGTTACATATTGTAACTGGGTTTTTAGGTTTTGTATGTTGTTTTTTACCTGGGAGGAGACATAATGGAAAGTGGAGGCAGTAGAAATGGCCAAAACAGTGACTGCAAAAATCCTGGAAAGGCATAAAAAGTGAGGACTAAGTAAGTTACTAAGAAGAGTAAAGAAGTCTGAAATGATTATTTAATCTGAGCCACTCTGTTTTATTGTTTGCTGAGAATAAGACACACAAGTGTTAGAGACTTTTCAGAGTGCTTGTTGAAGCAGCTCACTACCTGCAGATTTCCATGGCTACTATCCAAGCATGTAGTTCAAAGAGCAGTGAATGTGACATCGTTCAAAATTCCAAACAGTGTTATAGATTAAAAATTTGTTTATTACCCAAATGTTTATAAGGAGCCAAAGCAAAAACTGCAGCAGAACTCCAAAGCATACAGGCCATTCAAAATTGAGATTCATCATTCTCTATGAAGCTGATCACCATCTTTCTCAAAACAAACTACATGAGGAAAGTAGAAATTTTATATTACACATTTTTCTAATGATTGAATCCAGTTTTAAATTTCATTTATGTTCATATTTAATGTTAAGGTTTTGATGTCAAACAAGTAAGAAGACAGCAAAATAGTTTGCAATCTGTTTGCAGCTAAATATATTTATCTATTTATCAAATGAAATACTCAACTAACTTGAAGACTTCATGGCCATCTCTATTTGCCTGAATTATGCTGAGTTAGTCTTCAGAAGAAAATCCAAATATTTTGAATTATGTGAGAACATAAGCAACTAGAAAATACTCTGCAGTGTGAACCATGGTCAGTTTTATTATGGAGACTTTGCTCCAGTAATCATAGTCTTCTAGTAGAAATAATTTGCTGAAAATAATAGAATAATGATATTTCTTTTGTTGCTTGATTATATTCTACTTTCCCTTTCATCCTGTCTCAAACCTTTTCTGAATCATGACTATTTCTTTTTTTTCTGGTGAGATTTATACAGTTGTCCTTTTCTGTTACCCATGAGCAACAATGAGAGAAGGAGCTTATGCTTTTCTAAAAAGATGAAGTTGTTATGTTTCTGCAGTGGTTTCTTAGAGAAGACCTTGGGCCAGATTTTCAGGTGGAACAGTTCAGTGCTGTTCCATCAAATCTGGTTCTTTTAATGCATGCAAACAAAATATGCAGGCAGGAGTACAGTACACAGGAGAGTTGAACAGAATAGGTTTGTGAGCCATCCGAGCTTTGGACTTTGTTGAATGTCTTAAAAAAATATAAGAAAAAACCCCAGATTTAAAGATATTAAGGCTTCAGCTGGATAAACTAGAGACATAATATCTCCTGAGTCTGTTGTTCTGTTGCCACATCTCAATACAGAGCAGGGATAAAGTCTTTGGAGATTTTTCCCAATAATGATCTTGAATACCTTTCGGGGACTTGAGCCCTTCCAAAGTTTATATTCTACCAGTACTGGGGAGTATGTTCTTTTTTTCAGCACCTCTAGTGGACATTTTCATTTTCACTATCACTGCCTAAATACAGAAGGGGAAAAACAGAGGGCATTGAATTGCCACAGATTGGCAGTTGTACCTAATCTTCATGGTTGTGTGGTCATGTTAGATAAAAAGGAGCTGCTTCTCCTGTTAAGCATCTGAACCTGGATGCTTATGTGTAAAGGATACAGAAGATTAGGAAACACTTTTGACTATGACTAAATGTATTTCATAACAAATCAGATATTTAGGCAGGGAAGTAGACTAAAGATCTTTTCTTCCTCTATTTCCTACAGTTCTGTGATAGCTCCATGCCATTCCTTTTCATTTTCCCTACACTTCAACAATGACCTGGTAAAAGAATTGCAAACATAGCAGATGTAATTTTAATATTACCTGGAGAAGCAGATGGAAAGAGGGAAGCCAAAACCATTTCTTATTTTATATTGGGAATTAAAGTTGAGGATATGAGGTGTTTTCCCTTGGCCAGGGAGGCAGAGGGAAAGGAAGGATAATGCCAGCTGCTCTGTTACTCACGAAAGCAAGATCTCTTCGATGTTCTTCTCCACCTACATACAGAGAATAATCATCTCCTAAAAATATTTATACATCCATACTGATTTCAAATAGAACACATGCTTCCAAAAATGTAATAAAGAGATGTATGTTCCAATAATGAAGGTTATAAAATATTTAAATACTTCCTCCGCTTCTTTCAAGAGGAAATGCCAAACAGCTAAGAGGAAGGAGATTCCAGCTTCTCTTGTTTTTAGTGTGAGGTTCTTATTCCCCTTTGATTTATCACTCTCTTCTCCCAGAATAAAAACCTATTACTATTTTGTGATGCATATCCTGATCCAAACTTCATACATATGCATTGCCATATGTTTCACACTTCATATGCTTTCCTTAGTTTCATTTCAGGTTCAACATCAACACTCTTTACCCGTCATGCTTATATACACATACTTTGTTCATTTCACACATCTTCCCGTGTTTGCAGAGTGGAATAGAGAAAGAAGTTGAATTGACTATATATCTTCTGGGGAAGAAGAGACTCCAGCTCGTATCTAGGCCCTTCTACGTCATCCTTACTCACTGGTTACTTGAAAAGTATACCATAAGTTTTTTACTGACTATATGAATCCAACCTAAATTCCCTTGCTTGTGCAGGAGTAGGATTTCAGGGAAATTAAGAAAAAAACTATTGTTTTATGCAAAGCCTCAAGATGAGAAATTGCAAGCAGCTTTGGGGATCTCTAAGCAGCATTACATGGTTGAGTTTTAGGTTCCCTGTCACCGAGAGGAATACCTTGCTTGGGTTAATGCCGGGGTTGTCCTGGGTGTAGGTCTGAGGAGTGATTCCTGGCACAACTTGCTGCAGGCAGGCTGCAGGGAGAGCCCTCCTTTAGCTCTGGGTGCTCAAGACAAGACACCTGGACGTACATTTTAGACTCCAAAGAGTGTATCATGGTTTTCCAGGCAATGCAGTCCCAGCAATATAAAAAGAATCCTGCTTCTGATGAGTGAATGGAAAAGAAGATAGTACTGAAAGGAAAGGTTTGAGGTGGCTCTTCTCAGCTCTAAATCTCCTAAGATACTGCTAAGGAACTGACTATGGAGGGGTTTTCATGTTTAAAGCATTATTCTAGCATATTGCTATGGATAAGTGAAAGGACTGCTACATAAGGCACAGAACAGAGGGTCTGCTGGAATGTTAAGGGTTTTTTCCTGGAAGTCTTCTGAAGTCTGGTATTTGGTATTTTTTTGGTGGGTTTTGTTGTTGTTGTTGTTGTTTGCTTGGGTTTGTTTGTTTGGTTTGGTTTGCTTTGGTTTGGGGGTTTTTTTTGATGGAGGGGGAAAGGCATAATGTGATTTACCTGCCAGGTAGGTGAGGAAGTGATTTTGGGAATGAGATGATATAGAAGCCTTTTTCTGAACTCCACTTTCTTTGAGTACTATAATTATATAATTACAGTATCTTAATGTACTTGAAACAGAAAGGTGTTGTAAAATAGAAATCCTTATAATGTTTAAATTTTACAGTCTCCACTTACAGTGCGTAAGAGAATCAACAGTTGGAACTGTGAATTCAACAATTCCAGTTTTATAATAGCATTAGGAATTCCACCAATATATTTAGGATATCACATGGGAATACTATATACATTTATAGAAAATGGTCCTTTCGATTTATTTTCCACTTAGCGGTTTAATTATGGCTATGGATAGGATATATTTATGTTTTGGATACTTAACATATGGATACCAAAATTAGGAGTTCTTTTATGTTTTAGAGGAAGACTTTGTTTGCTTCATTTATTGACCCATACAATAATCTTTTGGTTCCCAAGGTGAGTGATCTAGTGCTGTTTGGTCAACAGCTGGCTAAACACAAGCTAGCAGCATGGCCAGGTGTCCAAGACCAGTGGCATCCTGGCCTGTATCAGGAATATTGTGATCAGAAGGACCAGGGGAGTGATTGTCCCCCTGTAGTTGGCACTGGTGAGGCGGCACCTCAAGTCTGCAAGAGAGTCACTGAGATGCTGGAGCACGTCCAGAGACAGGCAACAATGCCAGGGAAGGGTCTAGAGGGTAAGCCCTATGAGGAACAGCTGAGGGAGTTGGGGTTGTTCAGCCCAGAAACAAGGAGTCTCTGGGGAGATCTTATCCCTCTCTACAACCATCTGAAAGGAGCTCGATGACAGGTGAGGGTTGGTCTCTTCTCCCAGACAATCAGTAACAGGACAAGGGTACATAGTCTCAAGTTGCACCAGGGGAGGTTCAGACTGGACATCAGGAGGAATTTCTTCACAGAAAGGATTGTTAAACATTGGAAAGGACTGCCCAGGGTGTTGGTGTAGACATCGTCCCTGAAGGTGTTCAAGAAAAGACTGGATGTGGCACTTAGTGCCATGTTCTGGTTGACAAGGTGGTGATCAGTCAAAGGTTGGAGTCAATGATCCCACAGGTCTTTTCCAACCTAAATGATTCTATGATTCAGTGATTCTGTTATTCATGGACAAGCTGACTTTTGGACCTATTTAGGTATCAAAGTACACATTTTCAATTTTTTTGAGATCCTTATAGTTAATTTAATAATATTAGATTACCCATAATGCAGTCAATATTCTTACATATGAGGTGGCTAACAAAAAATTTACTTGGGTATTAATTCTGTTCTGCTGGTACCTGAGAAAAAGCAGACCCATTAATCTGAGAGGCATACAAAATTTAGATATATTAATTTATCTCTCTACTGGGCCTATTCAAATATACTTCATTTTTAACTGTGTTTTGCAGTTCTACTTCAGCAAGTGTGAAAATGAGGCATCCTATAAAACAAAGAATAGTTTAGTGAATTGAGTGCTCCCCTGGAAAGTGGTATTCCTTCTCTGAATCATGTAATGTAAAAGCAGAATTTGGGGAAGGAAATAGGAATAAAGTGTTATGTTGGCTAAAGGTACAGCTGCCTCAGAAAGATTCTGTTCCTGTCACTACCTTGAGCACTTGGGGCAACAAACCCCAGGGTTCAGGTGTGAGGTATTACTGCAGAATTCTGCAATATCAACCTTTGTCAGGGGATCCACCTCACTTGGCCTCTACCCATTCAGAACCTCAAATATCAGAGGAAACAACCATTCATTTGATATTTATACAGATAAGAATACAGCTTTATTCTCATTTGACATTTAAATACAGTTACGTTGTGGTTTTTCAGATAAATGTCAAATGAAAGGTTTCCAAATCTGACATTTTTTAATAGTATGCCTAAAAATGTTGAGATCAAATGAAGGACTGTGATTCATGTGGCACTTAGCATGGTCTGCCTGTCTTCTACACACAAGTTGAAGTCTAATACCAGCTAAACAGAGATCACTATGGTAGCATTTAACCAAAAAGGAGAAAAAAAGAGTTCTCTGTGGAATTAATCACGTTGAAGCAAAAAGCCCCCTCCTTTTTAGGTAATAGACACTCTTAAGTTTTACTATCAAAGAGGTAAATAACTCTGTCGAACTCCAAGACTCTCCAACCAGGTCCTTCTAGTTATTTCACACATGGAGGGTTGAATGTTTAATAGAGGACATTTTTGTTTGTAGATACCTGACATTATACAGGATTTTGATTTGGCCGAGCGAATCCACAACGTTCTGAAATCGTAATACGTGTGCAAATCACACTTCACAGAATACAGGAATTGCACTAGACAGTTGAACCACAGTACAAGTGGTTCGAGCCATGCATATACTTCCTCATGTTAGTCTGGCTAACTCACAGTCTCATGATTAACTGAGACAGAAACTTTCACATAACCAGTTCCACTCGGTTGAACCAAGGCCACCCCCTGGTTCCATTTGTGTCCAATTTCCTGACAGCCATCCCTCTATTTTTCCCCGAGCTTCATGAGTGTATCACCTTCAGCCATATCCCATCAGTCTTCTCCCATTGTAGAGGTTTATTGATCAGTCACAAACTAGTCACAGACTAGTCTAGTACTTGTCAAGAAATGAAAGAATATACATAACATCAGAAAAAAAGCATAAAGGAAAATCAAAACCAGAGCGACTCTTCGTATGACCAAATAAACCACTGTCTTTCAGGGATTCTTAACTATTTTTATTAAATTTAATTTTCTCTTCTAAAAAAATTTCACCTGTGATCAAACAGAGAGTTGTTCTTGAGATATGTCATTGAGATTACTTCAGACAAAGAGTTTGTCAAAGACACATCAGATCTCTGGCAGCATTTCTTCAATGCTGTTGAAATCTACTGTTGACACTCTATTGTCTGTGTAAGACCTTGAAAGAATGTAAGTAAATACTGACAAGTTGGTGGATTTGTCAATAAGTAACTTTGCAGTGTATTTTACAGTGATACAAGCCCTTTAAAAAAATATTCACTGAGATTTTATCGCCTTAGACAATTTTCTTTTGCTGTGTTACAGGAGAAAGGGACCTAACCCCAGATTGCTTCATATATGTAGATTTATTTGGCACACACAAGTTTACTGCCTAATGATTAATAGATCTAAAAATGTTCCAAACAGTTCTACTGTCACTACAAGTTACTGGCCAGCAAGATGTTACCATTGACTTTCCGACTTAGATAGATCTCTAATAAGTGACCATTAACTAAAATATGCATTAACCCTATATGAACATTTTATGTTTTATGTATAGTCTGCAGTGAGTTATACTCAAGAAAATCTGAGAGCTCTAGTACATTTTGGCCTTATATAGAAGGGTTTAAGAGTCACCTTTACAGTCTTAGGTGAACTACACCGATTTGAGGCACGGGGCTTCCCAGAAGGAAATGGTCTGTGAGCAAACAGCCTCTTGTTCTCCTGCTTTGGCTCTGTTCTGCTGGGTCTTAGGGAGGGACTGGAGTAGAGCCTTATCAGCAAATGTCATAAACATAACAAACCATTGGAACAAAGAGTTATGAAAGAGACCAAAGGAACAAACCATCAGGAATACTTCTGGAACAGACTGTGAATGCACAGTCTGAATAAACAGAGAGGGAGAGAGAGAAGGACTTGTACAGATGGAGGTATATTCCTAGTTTTCAAGTATGTTTAGACTGTACCAAAGGTGATATCTACAGTCCCTAAAGTTCCAAAACAGTTTTATAAAAAATAAAATTGAGAATGTTCTTTCTTTTTTGCCGATTCCCTGGAGCTCAACCACCTCTGTGAAGCTATACAGAATACCCTCAAGCACAATTTGTCATGGACAGTAGTTTGACATGGAGAATTAAAGCAGGCAGCAAGAGAGATTCTCCACTTCAACTGTCTCGTTGTTCCATCTCTTTTCTTACTCATAACAATGTTTTTTGTAATAATAGAAAAAAACTTTGTTTATTTGAAACAAAGGAATTTCTTGTGATTAATTTTATTTATAAACTTCAGTCATAAGATGGAATTGATATTGTCAGCTTTAGATGCCTCTTTTCAATAGCAATGTGCATTTTCTTGTGAGGCACTGTTACACTGAATCTCTGTACTGACCTATGAAATCAAGTACGTAGAGTTATTTCAGTGGCTCATGGGTTATTTTATTCAATTATTCATAGCACCCTTATCCTGCCAGCGTGCCCAGAGGTATTTAATAGAATCATAGAATCATAAAATCAGCTGGAAGGGACCTCTGAGATCATCAAGCCTAACCCTTATTTCACTGTGGTTCAGACAACTATCATTAAATGTCATTAATTACCTCCATGGAACAAAATAAGGAGGAAAGCCCAGAGTGAGTTAGTTTTGTTTCACAATTTGGCTCCTGGAATTGTCCACTGACAGAAAATGGGCTGCTCACCACTGCACCCTATAACCCTCCACTGCTGCTACCAACCTACTTATTAAAGGGTCAAAAGCCAAAGGTTCAATCCTTCAAGCCCTGTACACAGTTGAAGCCAGACTGTGACTGGCTTGATCCCAGTTTTCATTTGAAGGAGGTGCCTACCCTCAGCCCCCAGAAGAGGAAACTGAAATCAGAATTAGACTGTTAGCTTGTGAAATAAGTATATACTTTGAAAAAGATGTTCTTATGAATTATAAAAGGTACTTCTTTTGCTTTAAATCACAAGTTTGAGGATGAATATCATAACATCTTGAGATGGGCAAAATTCCTATTTGTATTTTGTTCATGAAAAGGAGTCTCACCCATCAAGAATTTTTAATTCCATTGGGTGATCGTTGCAGCATTGCAGATGTGAGCAAGCATAATGTTTAAAGGCAGTAAGAAGGTGTGTATAGTGAGCACTCTTCAGCATTTTTATGTATGTGGAGATAAATAATGGCAAGGTAGAGAGAAGAACCAAAAAAAGGATGGAAGATAGAATTATGAAGCTGAGTAACTCCATATTTACCAACTGATATCTCTTGGATTTTTTTTTTTTCTTGGACTCAGGGATGATGAGGAAGGCAAAAAAACCTTAAACCCATTCTTTCATGTTAATTACCCCAAAATATATGAAAATATGTGAAAATATGTCTTACCGTTAAATACTAATCACCAGGACCAAAAAGTGACACCATTCCAGCACGAAATATTCCCAGTGATCAGAATGGCACCACAAAAAAAAACCAAAGCCAAAACCAGATGTGTCAAAAAAATAATTTTTGTTATTTTTAGATGGAGAGTTCTAAACTAAATAGAAAGGTTTGTCTGAAGTCTGTCAGTCATGGGAATTCTACGGAAAAGAAACAATTTGAACTTGAATGCAGATCGGAGTTAACCATTAGACTGTTCTTTTAATTTCCAGAGCATCCATAGGACAACCCCAAGGACATAATTACAAAATTGAAATCTCACTAAAAATATTAGGCCTGATTTTCTTTAAAAGCATGACTTAAGTGTACTAGATGAAATGTCTATTATTGAACAAGCGATTTAATTCTTTGTCCTTAAATGGATAGAATTTTTATGTCTCTTTAGTTATTCTGTAGTCAGGAGAAAAAAAAAATCTCCCAAATATCCTTTACGTGTCATCAACTAAATAATTTTTTCAAATTTTATTAATTACATATCCCTATGGAAATAAACATGTTAACATGGATTGGAATAAATTAGTTTTCAAAAATGTGTACTTTGAATGAGTTTAAAAGAGAATGTGCCAATAACACCGCAAAAAATCCCTTTCAAACATCAGATGGACCAGAAAGAAAAGAATGGCAATTGCCACACTTGAAATTTTATTATTGCATGTCTGGACCAGGTTTGCCTTCTCACCATGAAAACGAAATCCACATCTGCTTAAGTTTTTTAGCAGTTTATAACCCTCAACACTGAAATTAGAAACAGGTGCCAGTTAAATGAAAAGCCAATGTAAAAAGCCCTACACAATATGTTTTCCATATGGTGAGGGAAGGCTAAGAAAGAGGAGAAAAAGGTTATTTCAAGTCATATAGTCAGAGAATCAAGGAACCCAAGTTAAAAAAAACCCAAACAAAAACAAAAATCATGAATATAAGATGGAATCTTTAACGTGATTTTGTCCTTACATGTTAAGACCTGAAAGAGGTGACCATCCAGTTCCTTTCTTCTAAAAGGCCCCCAAGAAACAGGTTGGGTAGGAGACAATCCACACAGCATGTCATTCATTTTAAGGCTGTGCTGGAATAAAGAAACCTGATTTTTTGTCATGCTAGGAAAGAGCCAGTTTTACAGCCATAGTGTTGGGGGAAATGATACTGTCAAAGCAGAAATAACAACTAATAGAGCATTTGACAGTTATTTTACTTTACAATGAGTTCTTTACACTCATAAAATTTGAAAGTCACAGTCTGGCTTCAAATGGCTTCAAAACCACAGGAATGATTTTATGAAACCCCAACATATAAACTTGAGGTTTCTTCTATCCTTTCTTTCAGATGAAAGAAGTCAACACCTTAAATTTAGGGATATAAGAGAAATCATAACATAGAACTAAATAAATGAAGGAAGGTTTTAAAACATTTGAAAATTTTGAGGTGATGAAATACTATTTCTTTTTAATTATAATGATATAAATCCTGATGAAGTGTGAGGATTAAAGTTGTTTTTCTCTTTGACCTCATAGAAATCAGAATAATGTAATTTTTTGAGACTCCCAATTTCATAAAGTTGACTTATTTTACAAGAAAAAATTATGAATTTACCACATGGAAATTGCATTTAATGGAAATTGAGACTGACTCCTAATTGACCCTGTTGCAAGTGAACACCAGAAGTTAAAATATTTTTTTCTGAATATTGAAATCTATATAGTGTACTTCTATATTGCTTTTATTACCATTTATTAAAAAAAATATTTTAAAAGGATGGAAGGAGACTATACTTATTTTTTCATACTATTTTAAATAGTATTATACTATTAATATTTCTGATTTCAGTCCAAGAATGTTAGAAAGCATACTGTTTGAAATAAATACTGAAGCAATTAAAATTGTTTTACCAAAGAAACTCTTAGCTCCTTTAAATTAACCAGAACTTGAAAGAATGTCCTGTTTTCCTCTATGTATGAACAGTCTTGAGAGCTCAGGAACCTTGTAGTGAAAAAAGGCTTTAATGCAATACTACTGTATTTGAAATTAAACAGTGTTGACTTTGAATTTTGGTAACCAAGGAAAATTTTCGTTTCATTATATAAGTTGAACTGACAAGGAATGCATTTTCCTCAGAAATTTTCTAATATTTCTTTTTTCCATTTCCAGTAGTAATACAGGATTGTCAAATATTCTTGGAGCAAATGGTCTCAAATATCGCATTTTGGACAAACTAAAGTACAATTTTCCTTGAACTTAGAAAACTTTTATCTTTTTATGGTCTCTTTTTAGACTCGGCTTTTTCACAATGTGGTCCAAACCCTACGTATTTGGATGCAGTCAAGTGCCTACAACTTTCATTTGTCAGAGGCTGGCAGTGGGGTTTAGTCATTTATTTAACAATATTGTAATAGCCAGTGGTTGGGGATATTCTCCTGACAGTGGGAGTCCTGGATTTTTACCCTTGCTTTCATATTTTCTCCAATGACTCTGTGTGTGCAAAATGCACACACAGATTTAGGAATACACAGTACAGTCAAAGTTTATTTCCTTCCAGATTTGCTGGAATACAATGGGCATTTTGCAATCTTTAATCCTTATGACTTGAAGGACTTCCAGCTGTAGGTATCAACACATAAGCCATGGTTTTAGACATCTAAATTCTCATTTATGTCCTAGACTGGTAAGCCCTTTGCCAAATTTTACCCTAAATACCTGGATCATGTGTGTGAAGTTTGAATTTAACAGGGCTGGGAGACAGGGCAGAGGAAAACCAATAGAAACTTATTCCAGTACCAGGATCAGGAAGCATCAGGGGCAGGGCAGACTCCTGCACCGAGATCTTTCCTGATAAAACAAGAAACTATTGTATTCAAGCCAAAACATATGATATGAGGAAGAGGAGGCACTGCTTGTCAAGCCAGATGTAAAGAGGCTCTGTTCCTGAATTGAAGGAGCAACAGTAGATGGGATAAGAACTAAAATGACTTTTCCTCTGATGATTTGACAAATATTTATGATAGAAAGAGCGAAGGGCTTTATTGGGAGAACACCCTGCTCAGTGATTCTTAGGAATAATTACTTTTATCCTATTCTGCCCACATGCTTGATGCTGTTTCAGCATAAAAGAAGGTATAACTTGTGTTCAAATCTGTAATTTTTCATTAACAGAGTGGTGAATATTGTGACAAGCGGCAGCAGTCTTCAAAATGCCCAAATGAGAGTTTCTATCACTTATTCAACGTTCTTAATTATCTGCAGTAGGTTCTGCAACCAGTACCATAACACGTAACTGAATCTGAAGATAAGAGGTCACAGCTTTAT